ACGGATCGCAGGTTTACACATGTACGCGGTCGTTACGGCTGCGCAGATAAAATATATGCAGATCTCATCAACCACTTTCGTGCTGTTTGCCGACAACCTCATGTTGCGTAACATCCACCTCTTTGAAAATCATTTTTTAACCGTATTTGTAAAAAAATTGAAAGAATTCTCATTCCGAACTATTCTGGTTGCGTCCTTGAAGGAAAATAATCGTTTGTCTTCTTTTGAAGTGAAAGACTAGGAATCATGATGCTGAAAGACAAAGTGAGATGAAACGGCATGTATCACCTAAAGCAATGCTTTCGTTTCATCGAGAAAGGTACCAAACTTGCAGATGCTCTGCTACAAGCTCAAGGGAATGCCACGTGGAACAAACTGCTCATATTTGTTGGGAAATGTGACTGAGCGTATGATGTAAGCAGTGTATAGTCCCATTCCCAATCACAGTGCGGCTCAAACGCAAGCATATTCTCAAGTTCGAATTTTCGGTATTTCTAGCAAGGACAGAAACACCTTGTGATGTGCTCACAATACCCGTCCTCCATCCATTTGTGCGGACGTTCAATGTTCTACAGCAAACCAACCTCATGTTGCGTAACATCCACCTCTTTAGAAATCATTTTTTAACCGTATTTGTAAAAAAATTGAAAGAATTCTCATTCCGAACTATTCTGGTTGCGTCCTTGAAGGAAAATAATCGTTTGTCTTCTTTTGAAGTGAAAGACTAGGAATCATGATGCTGAAGGACAAAGTGAGATGAAACGGCATGTATCACCTAAAGCAATGCTTTCGTTTCATCGAGAAAGGTACCAAACTTGCAGATGCTCTGCTACAAGCTCAAGGGAATGCCACGTGGAACAAACTGCTCATATTTGTTGGGAAATGTGACTGAGCGTATGATGTAAGCAGTGTATAGTCCCATTCCCAATCACAGTGCGGCTGAAACGCAAGCATATTCTCAAGTTCGAATTTTCGGTATTTCTAGCAAGGACAGAAACACCTTGTGATGTGCTCACAATACCCGTCCTCCATCCATTTGTGCGGATGTTCAATGTTCATGAAACAAACAATACTGATCCAAAGAAACTATTACGTTTGCACGTTTTCGGGGGTTCATACTTTGAAAAGCTTGTATTCTGCAGTGTAGCTCGTCTTTTATGACGAACAACAGAAGATTCGCAGGATATCCTCACGGTGAGAAAGTTGAGAAACATCAACTAAAAGTGAGGGAGATCCTGACAACTGTATCCAAATTTAATGCAGAGATATCTAGCGGTAAATTCAATTTTGTTTACTCCGTACTCATTCGATGATTGTACGAATCTCCACAGAGAGGATGAATAACTACTTTCGCTCCATTGACATAAATTTCCAAGGAGATCTGCTTTGGCTTCTAGAAAACAAACCTCACAAGTTTCGCACTCAGAAAACGATTAACTCAGAACTAAAGTTGACTGCAAGAAAACTAATTGAATGCGCGTACTCATAGAAACTAGTGTAAATATCTAAACTATTTCAATAGGAAAACCTCGTAGAGATGAAAGTAGTCTACAAGAGACTCGTTCACACAGCTGCCATTTATAGGCGAGAAGCTTAGCGATACGAGTGAAAACCACTTAGCAGCTTTTATTCGAAGAAAAACTAGTTTGGCAAAAGTGATGGTTCATTCGACTGTATATACTTTGTTTAATACTGATGTGAGAGATGGATGTTCAGTCCCCTATATTCCGGAAGTATCCTGCTTATTTGTTTACTTTGGCAGGCCAAAATGTGGGATTCGGATATCGGAAATGTAACGATAGTTTGTCCGTGCCTAAACTGCTGGACACGCCTAACCAAGCCGGTTTGTTCAGACGTGAGACATGTGTTAACTGACCGACAATATTGTATAGAAGTAGGCCTAGTTGGAGACACTACACGATATGGCTGCCAGCCAGGTGGGGACCGC